TTGTAGTGCTAGTTAGAGCAATAGAAAATATGTGAAACAAATAAACCATACAAGAAATATTGTTTGTTCAAAAACAAAAAAACAAAAAACAAAAGCCACACAAGAATTTTAATTAAACAAAAAATAGCTTACAGATCGAATTTGAATAGAAATTTGCGACGGATACATTGTTGAACAATGTGTAGAATTATAATTGAGTCAAATGTGTTTATAACACAAGGTACAAATATATACTAGCCTATGACTTGTCGTACAAGTAATTCTAAGTTCACATGAATTTACAAGATCTAACCCAATAGAATCCTAACCGGATTCTCCTATACAAACCGCCCTTCCCAAACTTGGTGGTTGTGGAGAGACAAGTTTGGAACGGAGAAGTAACGCCGCTTGGAGAGCCCTTGGTGAGAACATCCATAGGTTGATCAACAAAATGAATAAATTGTACCTTGTGATTCCAAGTTTGACCTGTTTACGGACAAAGTGATAATTAAGCTCAATATTCCTTGTCCGAGCATGAAATATCAGATTAGCAGCCATGTATGTTGTGCTCAACTTATCACAAAAACAATAGAGTGGGGTGAAGCACCGGAAACCGAAATTCACAAAGCACATAGGTGAGCTAAATAGATTTGGTGCAAGCATGAGCCAAGGCACAATATTCCAATTGAGCACTAGACTTGAAAACAATGGGATGTTTGGTGGAGCTCCACGATATTAAATCTGGCTATGCAATAGTAAGAAACCCGAAGTAGAGCGGCGAGTGTGTCCAGGCACCCAGCTTAATCAGCATGAGAATACTTATGAAGCAAAGGAGGCATAGAAGAGTGCCTGAATGAAATGCCATGTTCAAGAGAGCCCTTAATATAACTTAAACACGTTTAGCGACAATAAGATGCATGTGAGTAGGGCAAGACATGAATTGAGAAATATGATTAACCGCAAAAGCAATGTCTGGAAGAGTCAAAGTAAGATACTATAAGAAGCCTAATAAGTGTCGAAAATTGAACGGGTCAGAAAGCGGAGTACCATCCTGATTAGACAATTAAGCATGTGAAGCAATAAAAGCATTGGAAGGCTTGCAGTCAAGCATATTGGTCTGCTTAAGTAATTTAAGAGCATGTTTAGTCTGAGAAATATGAATACCAGCAGAAGTGGGATGAATCTCAAAACCTAGAAAATAGTGAAGAACACCAAGATCTTTAATTTCCAAGAATCATTTCTAGTCAATACATTATCATCCACATAAAGTAAAAGGATGAGATGAACCGTACAATAGTGATGAAAAGTGAATAGAGAGGGGTCAGCTAGGCAAGACATGAATTGAGAAATATGATTAACCGCATAAGCAATGTCCGGAAGAGTCAAAGTAAGATACCGCAAGAAGCCTAATAAGTACCGAAAATCGAACAAGTCAGAAAGTGGAATACCATCCTGATTAGACAATTAAGCACGTGAAGCAATAAAAGCATTGGAAGGTTTGCAGTCAAGCATATTGGTCTGCTTAAGTAATTCAAGAGCATATTTAGTCTAAGACATATGAATACCAGCAGAAGTGGGATGAACCTTAAAACCTAGAAAATAGTAAAGAAAACCAATATCTTTTATTTCCAAGAATCATTGCTAGTCAATACATTATCATCCACATAAAGTAAAGGGATGAGATGAACCGTATAGTGATGAAAAGTGAATAGAGAGGGGCAGGGCCGTCTCTGATATTTCAGGGGCCCTATGCGAAATTCATAAAAGGGGCCCCTTATAAGACATCTTAAAAAAATTGAACAATGTATTGATGCTAAAAAGCAATATGGAAATAAATAAAACTTAAAAAAAGAACCTATCAATAGCTCCTTTTTGAGACTGAATCAATTGTTCAACTTTTCTTTTTATTTGACGCTTCAAGTAGTCAGATGGATATTTTCTAGTAGGTGCCATCTTTTATATCTCAAACAAGATCACAAAAAAATTATAAAAAGTATGAACAATGAAACCTGATAATCCGTAATACGTGTGCGTCTAATGATTTTTGTGATTGCTCTTCTTTTGATTTTGTTCTGAAAAGTACAAAAATAAAAATAAAAATCATTATAGATGAGAAATACCCAAATCTTCAAATTTCGAGTCAATATACTTAAATTAGTAAATATCTTACTTTGATCGAAGTCCACATCACTCTAATAATTTGAAAGTTTCTCTTTAATTTCATAAATTTATAAATTAGGGTTTAATAATTTGTGGGAAATATAACAGTGGAACGAAGAGAGAAGGGAATTACACTGGGAGTCTGGGACACTGGCAGGCACAACATCTGAGATTTTGACTTTGGTGCTCTGGTACTCTGGTGTGAAAAGAAGAAAAGTGGAACGCAGTTACGCAATGTTGGGATTTTGGTGTGAGAGAGTGTATCTGAATTTTACCTCGGTCAGTGGGTTTTCCACTTTAATTGATTAACTTTGCCGGTTTGCCTTTTATTAATTATTATTTTATATATTTTCGTATAGGTTGTAGCCGTAGGTAGTAGTCTAAGTCTGATGGGTGATGGCTTTTAGCTTTAGGTAGTAGCCTGACATGGCTTTTAGGTAGTAGTCTTGGCCCATTGGATTTTTATATGTATATATTTTGATTTGATTAGTATTTATATATATTATTATATTCAATAAAAAATATTTTTGGGGCCCTGTGCCATAGAACCGGTCGCACTCTCCCAAAGCCGGCTACGTGAGAGGGGTCGGCTATGCTCTGCACAAAACCTTGACGAAGAATAAAGTTGCTGAAGCGCTAAAACTATGCACTAGGAGTCTGTTTGAGGCCATATAACGTGTTATGTAACTTACACACATGATTAGGACGTTGAGGATCAAAAAATCCCGGGGCTTAAGCCACTGAAACATCTTCTTGTAAATCCTTGTCCTGAGATTTTGGGGACTTTAACGGAGGCCCTTAAAATTTATAGAATTTTCATTGCTATGCTTTCTTTTACATTTTAATTGTTATGATTATGTATAAACTGAGATAAATAAAAACAAATTTAGGTGTGGTGGACCGGTGCTTAGGTACCTATTTGCATCCCTATGTTTTTAAGTTTGGAACTCCTTATTTTTAAATACCAACAAAAATGAATAAAAGTCATTAGAAAGTCTAACATTTTAGTTGCTATGTTTTCTTTTACATTTTAAATTTTATGATAATGTATAAATAGATAGTGTAAAAGAAAAAAAAAATCTTGGTGTGGTGGCTAAGTGCCTATTTGCATCCCCTAAGTTTTTGGGTTCAAAACATCATGCTTTTAAATACCAACATAAATTAAAATAAAGGGGAAACTTGATATAACTCCAATTTTTTGAGCCAATAGTAGGAATGGTCCAATTTATTAAAATAAGTCAAATTCTTTAAATTTAATTATTAATTATCAATAATTATCTCTTAAAAGAAAAAAATTATTGTAAAAATCAAATTTCTTCCTAATTATCTCTTTTTATATTTTTTTGTTCTGTTATTTTTTGTTCTTCCTCCTGTTTTAACCCATTTATAGATTTTTTTTAAAATTTTTATAATCAACCTATATCATAGGTTTTCTTAGTCAACCTGTCACAGATTAATATGTCTTACTTGTAGGTATATTATGTTTTTTTTCTACCTTTTAGTTAGGTTTCATATGTCACTTATAGGTATAATATATATTCATATATTTTGCTACTTGACTAAGGGTAGAATGTTTTGCAGATAGATTTATGTTAGTATATTAATTATTTTTGTTTATAAGATATTAATTAGATATTTTGGAGTTGAAAAATGCAAAATATTAAAAGATTTTAATTGATTTCTAATATTTTTAGAAAATATAAAAGGAGTATAAAAGAAATAAAAACATATAATTAGATAACTGGAGTCACTCCTAAAAATACTATATGTTTTTGGACCTGGATCTAAAAGCCCCTAAAATAAAACACAAAACCATTTTAAATACCAAAATAATTAAAAATAAAACACACAAATAAACGCCACTGAGCGGACTTGAACCCAGTTCACGGTTCACGGATAATACGCACAAAACACTAGCTTTGAGAGAACAAATTATTATTTCATTGCATGTTTAAATTTATATATGCAATATACAAGTAAACTAAAATCGAAAATTTGGGAGCCCTACGGGTGGCACCACTTGCACACCCTCATGGTCGGCTTTGAGGCCTAATATAGAACCATGACTAGAACTTGTTGTGAAACTGACATGGCTTCGATATCTTCTAAGGGATTTGGGTTTATTACATCCAAAACCAGCCTTACTACATTGTGACAACAAGATGGGTCTCCATATTGCTACTAATCCAATTTTCATGAATGAACTAGACATATGGTGACATATTGCCACTTTATTCAAGATAAGATATACAAGATGATTTAGTTGTCACCAAATATATTCCCTCTTCACACCAACTCGCAGATGATATTCACAAAAGCATTGGGAAAGAAAACTTTCTCAACTGTTGTACACAAGTTGAGAGTTCTCAACATCCACTCTCTAACTTGAGGGAGAGTGTTAAGAATGAGAAGTCAACGATAGTATCCTTGGTAGTTTTGGCTTAGTATAGGAAAAAAATTTGTAGTTGTTTAGTATAAGGAGTTTATATTCCTTTCGTATATGTAGAATGTAGGCTAAATTACTTCTTTGTTAAGTGAACCTCTTTGTATACAGTCTTCGTATCAATAGAAGAAAACTTACTTCTGCAAATATATTGTATACGCGATTTTACTAATTAAAGATTCTAGCAATGATTATGTGGCAGAATATATCATTGTAGGACGTGATAAAGAGCAACTTCCTCCAAGAGATTATCTTATTAATGCTTTAAATTTGTTCCTTTTTATTGCCTTGACATACCATTTATTAATTAACTTATCCCATAGAAGATGGTGATGTTTATAAACGGATGAATATTGTATCAGAAATTAGACCTAGCATGTTAAAACACAACTAATAAACGGATAAGAGATCAAAAGAATAGAATGCAAAAGGGAAGTACAAGAGGAGTTTATTCGGAAGTGCAAATAGCGCATCTCAAAACATAAACAAAGCATTTGGCATTCAGAGAGCTCCCGTTGTGAGGCAACTAGCTAGAAGTAAAGGAAGAGTTATTAGTTGGTCCTAAGATTCAAACTCAAGGAAATCATGAAATGTAATAAACTGTGAGGAAGAGACCGGTGGCCAGGTGAGATAGTTCAAACATGGGCCTTGCCCTTGGGATCATCTTCAAAGTCATCCATGAATCTCTTCCAGAACCAATGTTGCTTCCAGACTCTTTCTGTCATCTCTTCGATTGGGACACCCTTGGTCTCGGGAATTAAGAACATTGCAAAGATTGTCATGACAAGGACCCAAGCACTAAAGAACAGGAAGATGCCAAACTTCATATGGCAAAGCATTGAGAGGAAGGCTTGTGCTATAACAAAGGTGAAGAGCATGTTGATGCACACAGCCACACTCTGGCCAGCTGAGCGAGCTTCCAAAGGGAAAGTCTCACTAGGAATCAACCACCCGAGAGGTCCCCAAGACCATGCAAAGGAGGCAACAAAACTGCAAACCATAATGACAACAAGAATAGCCATGCCTTGGGTAAGGTTGTTAGAGTTATCCTGGACTTTGAGTCCCATCACTATTGCAACCACCATTTGAGAAAGGAACATTTGGACCCCGGCTTCTAATAAGAGCATGCGGCGACCAGCTTTGTCAACAAAGTAGATTGATACAACGGTTGATAGCACGTTGACAGCTCCTGTTATAACAGCTGAGTAGAGGGAGGCATCGCTCTTAAAACCCAACGTCTGAAACAAAACCGGAGCGTAGAACATGACTGCGTTGATGCCAGTGAATTGCTGGAACACCTGCATCATAACTGCAATGACCAGTTGTGGCCTGTTCCTACGCTTAAGGAGATTTTGGAAGGGATTCTTCACTTCTTTAGCCACCCGACTTGCCTCAACAATCTCTAAGAATTCTGGATCCACATTGTCAACACCACGAATCCTTTTAAGAACTGCTTTTCCTTCCTCCAACTTGCCTCGTTCAATCAAACTGTTAGGAGTGTCTACCACAATGAGCGACCCCAAGGTTAGCAAACCGGCTGGAATCCCAGCCAAACCCAGCGATACCCTCCATCCATATCCTCCCGTAATTCTGCGCATGTATGGTAAACAAAATATTACTTAGTTGTATATTCTTTCAAGTGATTGGAACATATTACTACGCTAAAATTTGTGGGCTCAGAACTTCAGATCTTGTCTTTTGAATTAGCTAGCAAGATTGGGCCGGCTTACTTGTTAGTTCCGTAATTGATAAGGTTTGCAAAAAGAATGCCAATGGTAATATTGAGTTGGAAGAGGATGTTAAGTGCCCCTCGAATTCTTGTGGGTGCAATCTCCGAAAGGAAAAGCGGTACCGCCTGTAGTTACGTATATTTCTTAGTAAACGTATTGTGTTCAAAAACATTTAACAGGAAAATCCAGCTGGCATTAGCAATTGAGTAGCAGGCAGTTTATTGAAAAAAAAAAAGAAAAGATTATTACAAATTTATACTATATACCTGGTTAGCAAAACCAACTCCACAACCAAGCAAGATCCTCCCTATGATAAGCATGAGAAGGTTAATAGCTGCAGCATTAAAAACTGTTCCGATTATGAAAAATATCCCGGCAATAAACATAGTTAGCTTTCGGCCTAGTGATCTGGTTGTGTACGAGGCAACGAAGGTTGACATTAAAGCAGCCAGGTACAATGAAGATGTGAACAACTGCAAGCCTTGATTATCATATTTGCAGTAGTTGCTCTCAAGTCCAGGCTCTTGAGTCATCTTATACACAACCGGGAAGAATTTCTTCTGGAAATGGGGCATGGATGTAACACCCCCTGCGTTGTATATCCATATATCAAATTAAACAGAATTATACGTGAAATCTAATAAATTTTCTACAAAACACGTACGTTAATAGTTAATTGTATGTGTGGATGCGACGGAAAGCTCTTGAGTCACGTATATGTACCTGAGATACCAACATCATAACCAAACATGAGGCCTCCGCTAGCGGCCATTATGCAAGAAATGATCACAAGAGGCGTGATCTTTGCTTCAAAGTCTCCGCCTCCCGATGCGGCCCCAAACCCACCGCCTGCCATGGTTTCTCGCTCTTAATTAAGTGCTCAAACTTATTTTGCTGCACTATATGTCACAGTATCGAATTTGATGAATGTGGAATTTTTTTTATGTATTAGATGATCTAAGGAAACTCTAGAAGAGGAGACTAGCTTGTTGAAATAAGACGTGTGCTTGTGGGGTTTATATGCTGAAAAACTTTGTGGCAACAGCGAGTGAGCTACGTAGAAAGTGGATGATTTAGTCACTACCACGGTCAGGATCTTTCCCCATGGCATGATCTACGGTTGAATTTCTTTCTTTATGCTTGGTCAGGCATTCACGAGAAGTTAGTTGCACCAAAGTTGATCGAGTCTGTTATGAGTAATGCTTGAACGACCACATTTCATTGCGATATGTGGCAGGTAATCCGTCAACTGTAAGGTCCATTTGACTGAAATTGCCCGTGTGTCTAGGAATCTAGTACGCATAGGTTTATTAGAATATGATTTCATATTTGCCACAAAGGATCAAAGGGTGACACTTGTGCACTTTTGCGGCTAATCCAATTTGACTGTCCTTTTTGTTCCATAGGAAGTTAGGCTCTCTAATATAGCATATGGATGAGTTTAATGACATAACAATTTCTAAGGTGTCAAAAGCTGTTCTAATACAAGTAGATATAATTCATACGAAAATCCAAATCTTATAAATCCTCCAAATTTTCAAGGATCTATATGCGACCAAAAATATTAATATGAATGCTATATTTCACATGTTAAAACTGCCTCAATAACTAAGCAAAGGTAAGAGCTTAAGCTCATCTGCGAAAGCAAGAAACCAATTTCTCTGTTATCTGTTGTCTATTCTCTCTTCTCCTCTCTTCATCCACCAGAATTTCTTCCTTCCCCTCTTCCTTAATGGCTTGACTTATTCTTTTACTGGCCTCAATACCTTTTCCTCTTGTGCACAAACGTACAATATTACACGTTGATCCTCGGAATGTTGCCTCCCTCCTACCCATTAAGCTCGCAGGCGATAACTACCTACTTTGGGTAGTCCATTTATCCCAGTATTGCTGACATATTATAAGCTTGGCCGTATCATAGTTAGATCTGAAACATGTCTACCTCAATATCGTTCCACCAACATTGAGAATTCCTCTTTAACACATTGGATAACAAAGGATAGAACATGTAAGACTCGGATAAAATCACCCCTATTGAGAGTGTTCTTCCCCATACTGTTGGATATTGGCTCAATCTTGAGAAATATATTTCTGCCATTACAAGGCCTCGCTTTAGCTTAAACGAGCAAAAGAGCTCGAGCAATGCACGGGTTTTAAAACTTCGTTACATGTGTGGGACTTGTAAAAATTTATTCACATCCATATCAAAATCTATTCACATCCCTATGTTCTATAGAGACCAAATCATAAATAAAAATTATCTTATTTACATCCATATAGTTATAATACACAAAATATCTTGTTTTCTATGTCCCAACTTTTCATATTGTTGTTCAGTACTTTACTCTTCTTTCTTCTTTGCTGCTAAAGAGATGTTTTTCTTGTACCACGCATAGGATTTTTAGAAATGGATCAAAACTAACATGCGATGAAGAACTTGTGTGTTTCACTTGCTTATTGATTGGATTACAATCTCAGCATAAGAAAAGCATTCCATGATCTGGAAAAAAAAAACATAGTTAAGAAAAGAAAGAAGCTCATTACTTTGCTTTCATTACTGGTTGTGAATTTACTCAGAATACCAATTGGATGAAAAGGTATTAATTCATGAATTGTAGGAAAGGAGACAACAAATGCAAAAGTTATTTTGTATATATATATTATACGAAACACACAAAAGGGATTGAAGTTCCTCCTATTATGCAAGTACATAAAGATTAGAACTAACCACTTGAAATGTCTCTAGCAATTTTCCAACTTTTGCCCCGAGTAGGTGTGCATGTTGCTCCTCATCAGTCACTCCATCAAACATTATGTATTCAATGAAGATTTTTTGTTGACTGCAGAATCAGATAAAAGGGCTATAGTGAGATTCTCTAGGAGTGTAAAACGATAGTAAAAGTTTCATTGCAAACAAATGAAAGCTAAAATAATTTATTAAACGCATGAGGTGTAATAAAACTTTATGTGTTCTCTTGGTAGTCTTGCAATGCATCCATAAGCTTTACTAAAGGAAAAGCCCAAGTTGCAGGCATTATCTGACAACAAATTTCTTGGACGGATGCGTGAAGTGAAACTGCTAATCCATGGCTAGAAGATCACTATGGAGCTTTTTGATAGCATGAATAATGCCGACCTACAGAAGATTAGATGCACAACTGACAGAGTAGTAAGCCAAATGTTTTTAGCAATTGCGAACTACATCATTACTTATGCAACTATGATTCACCCACATTCAATGAAAGAAGCGAAAGAGTACTTCGTGTTGGAATTTAGAATTATTTTATTGTTTGAATTTGGGCTTAGCCTATTAGTATTAGGGTTCCGTTTTGCTTATTAGGGTTATGTTAGTTCTCTATATATATGATGCTTTGTAGTTTGTAGAATTATAAGTCAGTCAAGATGTAGTCTCTTCGGTTCATGTAGCCTTCTTAGCAATTCCATTTAATAACTTTATATTTAGTTTGTTTGTTTGTTCGTGACGCACTCTGATATTCAACTTGGTATCAGAGCAGGTTTGATCTTCCGAGGTTAAATATGTTCTTGGTAGCTAGCTTGTTTGTCTTGTCATCTTCTTCGTTGTGATTTGTTTTCTCGTTGTGCCCTAGGTTAGGGTTTCGTAGTTAAAAAAAATAAAATTTGAAGTGGTTGCTATGCACAGCCTACACCCATTTGAACCTGTTGTTGCAAACTCGCTAAAATCAGTCTCTGCTTGATGAGATCATCGTTGTGCACCCGTTGTTTGAACCATCCACCACTGCTGCTTCTTCCAGACACGCACCACCTCGCCACCCTGCACCCAGTCTGAAACACCTGATGACCCGCACCCGCACTTGAAGTCACTGCATGCGCACCGCGTCGGATCTGATGAACCTACCGCCGCCTTGGACCTAACCCTATCACGCCGCCAAACCTGCATCAAACCCGCCACCAAGCCCACCTGAACCCTTGAACCCGTCTGCCCCACTACCGCTCCTGCTCGACCGTAGAACCACAAACACAGATCGAGTTTGTCCTCGCCATGTACTCTACTGCAGTTTCGAACCCACTCGAATAACCGCTACACCAGAATGCCGAACCCACTGGAACAACCGCTGCAACAGAATGCCATCGCCATCGAACGCTGTCACCACCACCTGCCATCTGCAACCAAAAGTCTCGCCGTCGCTGTTTGCACTTGTTCGCACAGAAAAAGAAAGAAGAAGGAAAAGAAAGAAAAAAACAAATAGAAAAAGAAAACAGGAAAAGAGGAAAAAAAGAAAAAAGTATGGAGCTCACAATCCGTTGGGCTATTATGATTTGTTAAAAGGCCATTGGTTGGGCCTTGTTGATTGAAGCCTAGATTGTTCGTTTGCTCGCCCGCTTGCCTTGTCGTGTCTGCTTAACGGAGTTTGTCTTGTCGTGTCCGCATAACGGAGCTTGTCTTGTCGTGTCCGCTTAACGGAGTTTGTCTTGTTGTGTCCGCCTAACGGAGCTTGCATCCACATCTGCTTGTTGGCAAACTTATGGCGTGAAAGGAGGAAAAAAAGAAAAAAGTATGGAGCTCACAATCTGTTGGGCTATTATGATTTGTTTGAAGGCCATTGGTTGGGCCTTGTTGATTGAAACCTGGATTGTTCGTTTGTTCACTTGATTGCTCGCATGCTTGCCTTGTCGTGTCCACCTAACGGAGTTTGCCTTGTCGTGTCCGCCTAACAGAGCTTGTATCCACATTTGCTTGTTGGAAAACTCATGACGTGTACAACCATGAGTTTGACCGGGGGGGGGGTGTTGAAATTTAGGATTATTTTATTGTTTGAATTTGGGCTTAGCCCGTTAGTATTAGGGTTTTGTTTCCTTGCTTATTAGGGTTAGGTTAATTCTCTATATATATGGTACTTTGCAGCTCGTAGAATTATAAGTCAGTCAAGATGTAGTCTCTTCGGTTCATGTAGCATTCTTAGCAATTCCATTTAATAAAATTTTATATTCAGTTGGTTTGTTTGTTCGTGGCGCACTCTGATATTCAACTCTCCGTATTACCTAATTTACTAAGATCCACAAAATCTAAAAACTACAAAATTTTGATTATAGAATCAAATAAAATAGCATGAGAAGAAAGTTATTAAGATGCACCATATGTGAATGTTTTTGCAGATAATAACATCTTATAAATAATGGCAGTTTTCAATGCCTAGTCGATACAGTAATTTTCTTTGGCGGTCATGAGAAAGTTATTAAGATACACCATATCTGAATGTTTTTGCAGATAAAAACATATGGATTTTTCAATGCCTATCGTCGACAATAATTTTCATTGGCGATAGGTGAAATAGTGATCCAGTCATGACATGAATTGCTTCAATTAAGGAACCATACTTATTCAAAGGTTCTCCCATTCCTTGAAAAAATACACAAAATCAAAGTATTCAATATTTCAATGGTTCCCATATTTCTTCCATATGCATAAACCATTCAACAACAACCACAAATGTGACAATTTGGAAAAGGATCAGAGGATCAGGGTCACCTTGGGCACAGCTCCAGTTTGAACTTTATAGATAGCATTGCAGAGGATTATCCCACTTCTCAAACCAAGCCTAAACTCTCCCTCCACAGGCTCCGCCGGCATATCTATAGCAGCAACAACAACAATTATCTTTCAGAGTCCTCCGGCCGACTCATTTCTCCTTGTTGCTACACAACAAAAGATTAGCTCAATTGGCACAAACAATCAAACGAAACCCAATTTTCAAGTATTCAATTATTTCACACTTAATAGTTGAAGTAACTTAAGAAACTTTTATGGCGCGTTTACTAATCCGTAATCAAATTGAGAGGAATTGGATTGAGGGGAAATTGGATTGAGGAGGAATTGAAATGAGGTGGAATCAGAATCAGATTCCTGTTGAAGTTGTTTACTAAAACTGTCAGGAATCGGAGTAGGAATGATGTTGAGTCCATATAAGTTGTTTACTAATTCATTTCAATCGGAATGAAAACTAGGTTGATTACTATATTGCCCTTACATAAATAAATTATTTTCATACTAATAATTTAATTAAATTCTTAATTAAATTTATATAATAAAATTCATCTATATAAGCATGTATAAATAGGTTTTATTTATTTATTAAAAGATTGCAAAAATGATATTGAGTCTATATAAGTTGTTTACTAATTCACTTCAATCGGAATGAAAACTAAGTTGATGACTAAATTGCCCTTACATAAATAAATTATTTTCATACTAATTAATTAAATTAAATTCTTAATTAAATTTATATAATAAAATTATCTATATAAAAAATATAAATAGGTTTTATTTATTTATTAAAAATGACATAATGAGTGTCAAATGAAGGGCAATGTTGGGATAATAAGAAACAAGTGATAGCATAATTAGAATAAAATATGCATTCCTGATTCCCTTGCCCTTAGGGAATTCAAATACCTCACAAAACTAGGGAATCTGGTTCCTCCAATTTCAGGAATTGGATTCCTTGTTTCGTGTGGGCTCCACCACTTTTTTGATTCCTTAATATTTAGTAAACACCGGAATACTCCGTAATCGGAATTCAATTCCCTTTCTTTATTCCGATTACCCTTACGTAAACATGCTATTAAAGTATCAATTGGTAAAGTTAAACCAAACAAAGGAGAGAGAGTTAATTTTCTGTTCGGTTACTAAAAAATGAAGGAAAATATAATCTTGAAGGAAAATATAATCTTGACCTATTGAGATAGGCTAAACAAATTCAAAAACCCACTCCACATGCAATCACTAAAACCGATTAAACTGGTTCAAAAGAACCGGTTTCCACAACCACTTCGAAAATCAGCAAAAATAAAACCAAAAATTCAAAGCTATTTCTCAAAACATTAACTCCCCAAATCTCAAACTATTTCTAGCCGATAACCCTTTTCGAAACCCTAAAAATCACAGATCAGAGGAACTTACTCGTTGTAGGTTTGAAGCAGAACCAAATTGCTCTTTTTTTTTTATTATTATTATTATTTTATTTTATTTTTTATAAGTAATCATTGGGGGTAACATTCCCCTTGCTCTGCAAGTACAATCACACAAAACAAACAAAATCCTAAGCCAAAATATTTTCAAAAGCTTTATAGAAATAAGCACTAAAAATTAAAGAGAAGAAATAAGAAGAATAAAGAAAGAGGAGAGTGGAGGAGTAGGAATGGGGAAAGGAGGAGTGAAGGGAATCGAGGAACCAGAAGAGCCATGTGGGAAATTGAAAGATAACAACTTTGGGTGTCGAAAATTGGCCAGAAAGGAAAGAAATTAGTCATACCCAACAACTGAAATGGCAGCTCGAGCATAGGATGCAGCAGCTATAGACCTCAAAGGTGCGTCTACCGATCTCAATTTCCCTGAATTGGCTCAAGAACTTCCCCGATCAGACTCCCTGTTTCCCATGGACATCGTGGTTGCAGATTCGACTTGTGAGGAAAATTGAGTGTGAATCTAAAAAACTAAATTACCAGAAAATCATCACCGATATAAATAAAATATCAAAACTTCAGTTTGCTTTTGCAGAGATCAAAGGGAAGTAGTAAAAAGGAAAGACCCACTTTTTCCCCCTAATTTTTTAAGGTACAGAAATACGCAGATTCAAAAAGGAGCTGCCGCACCTGATGATGGCGGTGGTTCCGCCGTAGGAGAGAGTTCGAGAAACAGGCTCTGGCTTTTTGGTTGACAGAACAACATATGAATCAAAGCAGTAGTGGATCGAGTAACAGCAACTCCACCCATTGAGTCCTCCTTGGCAATCCACTGTTGAATTCACCTATTGAACAGTAACTGCCTTTAATAAATAGTAACTGTCATTAATGAACAGTAATTGTCATTTGCATCTCCACCCTTGGAGTTCTCCCCTGGCAATAGGCAATAAAATATTAGTTTTTTTTTTTGTTTAAATAATACAAAATATAATTATTTGTAATTTCGAATAAGATTTTTTAAATCGTTCTCGTTGCGCCACGTGTCATTGTATCTAAAAATAATATCTTTAATTCTTTTGCCAAGAAAGTAATGATGAAAACAAAAAATGATTTTTTTTTCTTCCTGTAATACAACACCTATCATAGAAAAAGTGAAAATAATGCATATAGAAAAAAAAAATTTTAAAAACCAGACCCAGCCTGACACAAAAAATGGTTTTTTTTTTCTCCCTTGCGTCAGCATGACCCCTCCCCCCTCGGGCAGCAGGCCTGTCAATTTTCCACAGGCCTGCAACTCGGGCTCCCACCCTCACTCGGGCCCTTCAACGCTGGACCTACTCCCACTGGCCCTCGGGCCCTTTCCTGGAGCCTGTCCCCCGAGCAAACTCCATGGGTGGAGTTGCTTTAAGAGGAAGGAAGAGAGAGGGTAAACACAGCAGCAGTGGAGGAGCGGTCGGCAGTACTTGCTGTCAAAATGAGCCAACGACAGCTGAAGAATGGAATAACAAATGGCCAACACGTATCCAATAAGGCCAAATTAATCATTTTACTGTTGAGACTGAAAAACACAACGAAGAGGAATGCAAAATACGGAGGCAATTCAGTCATTTTACTGTACTTAAAAACAGTAAACTTGTTGAACTGAGTTTTAGTATATATAGAATTTCGCGTACATCACCTTTTTCTTCATTTTCTTGATAGGGATTTTTACTACTCATGTGAAAGGGCTTAAATCTCCTATTTTACTTGCAAGAATCACAAGATTATTGTAGTATAAACGGATTTCGCAAGGTCGTCTCCACAGGGATTATTAAATAATTCGAACTAATCAGATTCTATTTAATTATTGTAAAGTAGAAATTGAAGTGATTGATTTTATAACCTAATTAAAATAAAAACGAAATTAATGAATTAAAATAAACAATCTGCAATATTAGAACTAGAGAGAAAAGAAAACAGTTTTGGGAGAATAAAATTAAGAAAACACTAGAGTTCCACCATCACCTAGCAATCCTATGAATTTTTACCAATTACTTATAATCTACACATGCCACTTTGAAAGTTAGATTTTCCTAATTCATATTCTACTTGGAACCTCCAACATAGAACGTATATCTAACATGCAACCCGTCTGGACGTTCGGATCAAATCTGAACATGAAAGACTCATTATGCTTTATGAAAATCCTTTGAAAAACCATGCAATCCTTAAGACGTGATATTCATCCTAAGAGAAATTACAATTATTAATCACAAGAAGCCAGCGTCAATTTCAGGGAACCTTCCGACCAAAATTGCATCAAATTACTTTTCTAAAGATCTTAATGGTGATCAGGCATTAAGACAATTAGATAGATTTTATCCCGGTGATTAACAATTCAAAGTACGCATGCAATCAATCATAAGCAATTAAATAAAAATCACATATTCATGCTAAGGCTCAAGACTTCGCCCTAGCAAAAGAAATTAGTTCCGCATATTCATAATTGAAATCATAGAAAATATTCTTAAGAAAATGATTGAAAACACTTTCAAGTAGAAAATCTCCAAAACCCTAGTAATTCTCTCTGTCTCCAAAGTTGCATAAAATAAAGCATTCCTTAAGAAATATGGTAGACGGCCAAGCCATATATCTGCCAAGCCTCCCACACAAACCCTAGGAAACTAAAATTAATTTAAATCCCCCTAAAATTTAGGAAACATAACCCTAAATTAAATGATAAAATTCGTTTAAAATCTGAACAGCCACGTTTTGACCCATAAGCTGCTCCAAAACTGGCCCAATATAGCTGGATTTAATGTTTGGAATATTCTGAACACTTTTCCAGAAGGCCACTAACCCATCCGAGGTCATCTTGGGCTCCAAAAACGTCATTTTCCAGCATTACGCACTGCTTCTTTATTTTATCGCCAGAAAATAACCACTTTGTGGAAAAATCCCAAATTTTGATACGATCAAGCTAAGTGACTCACGAACGTCCTCCAACTAGAATTACTCCAAAATTCGTCCATTTGATCCTGTTTTGCTCCAGAAGAAGTCGAAAGTCCTATATTGAAAATATATAATATAAAATATACTCATCAATCACCCTTGTTGATGGATATGGATCCTCTCCGAGGCAACTGGTCGGATCCTCCTGATTAGTGTTCGTGGACCGTTGAATTTTTATCCAACGGCTACAAACAGGGGGCTCTCTAAAAATTACAATAATTGTAGCCGTTAGATAAAAATCTAACGGTCCATGAACATTGGTCAAGAGGATCCGACCAGTTGTCTTGGAAAGGATCCAAATCCCCTATGGATAATACCAGTACTGCAAAGAAACCACGTTCAACGGTTTGTGATGAAGTTTTTAAAAGCAGTAAAGTTATTCTTACCATGTTTTTATACCATATTATGTGGCATTTGATGTGTACAGTCACGTCATTTAAATTAATCAGAATTTAATTTAAATTAAAAATCATTTAATAAACCAATAATTTAAAATTCATTTAAATTAATCTGATGTGGTCTTCCCAAGCTTCAGAAAGGTACAGCCTTGTAATTGCAGGCTCATCAAAACTCTCAATCTCTGCTATCATCTTTCTTTCCCAATCTTTGCAGCCTAGGAATGATTGAAACCAAGTTTGAATCTTTATCTTCCTCTAAGAAAACAAAACCAAGATCTATAAACCCTTTTAGCTCTTCAAACTGAAGGTCCATCAAGCTCTTGCTCTCACTCTTCTTCTTTCTTCTCCTCCTCTTTTCAACTTTCTTATGTGGCTCTTCTTCTGAATATATCTGCTTCGGGTTTCCAATTTTCGATTTCCTTGGCTTCTTTTCTGGAAAGAATTATGGAGAGCTTCGATCTGTGGAGGACAGAGTCCAGCGAGAGAGTGCTCATATTGGAGCTCAACTCGTCGCTCATGGACCTGGTGTGCTTGGTTGGAATCCTTTAAAACTCTGGTTTTGATGCGTTTTCTTCGATTTCATGATTTGGGTGTTCTTTGAAATTTGATGGGTTCGATGAAACTGGTTGTTTCTTGAAGATCTGGAGCTCAAACCAGAAAGAATCGTATAGCTCCATTACTTCGTCTGCTTCCATCAATAGCGAGGCGGCTGAAGAAAAAAAATATGGCGTGAAAGAACTGGAAGAAGAAACGGGAGAAGAAACAAAAGATTCCTCATATATCACAATAACCATTTAATTCCAGTTTTTTTTTTTAATTATTGGTTTACTAAATGGTTTTTAATTTAAATTAAATTGTGATTAATTTAAATGATGTATATGTCCACATCAAATAACACGTAAGATGATATATAAATATAGTATAAAAATATGATAAGAATAGCATTATTGTTTGAAAAGTACAGACTCATAGGTACTGTTATCACTTCCGTCCCTCGAGAATGCAATTTCTCAATTACAAACGTAGCAGAAAAGCAATACAAAATTTAGCAAAACAACATGCCATTGTGTCAGTGTTCAACTAAAAGGAAAACTAAAGCTCGCAAAGACAAGTTTACATTACTTTCTGATTGACTTAGAAAACCCGACACTCCTTTTGACTTTTGACAAATAAACCTTGCTATGTAAGACATCAAAAGTTGACAGTATGAAAATACATATTTTGTTGGGTTTTTTTAATCACATGTTTGAAATTGACGCAAACTATCAAGATGATCCTTGAAAATAAAAATCAATCAATATAGTTCCTAAAAATGATTATTGCAAAATCAATGTGATCCTTTCGTTAGAATTTGGTCAAAATTTATGTTAGTATGCTTATTTGGCACATATATGGACCCACAAGTCTATTAAATATTGCCACAGGAATAAATTATTAAAAACTTTATAAAAATTAATTTAAAATCACTAAAACTAAATTCAAAATATGATTAAATTAAAAAATTAAAAGCTATTCAACAAAAAAAAATTAGGTGCATCGTTAATCCTCAAGCCTCATTTAATTAAATTAAACAATTAGGTGCAGCTTTAATTCTCAATCCTCATCAGCAACCAATTCTCTTGCCATCTTTCCCACCCCAAGCCACCATCTTCCCCACCCGTACCCCACCCCTAACATCGTTGTTGTCAATCCTTTCCCCTCACCGTTGAATCGTCGACCTTTTCCCTCCTCACCGTGACCGCACCAACCCACCTCAACCCGTTTCCCTTCAACCCAAAACTCCGACCGACACCAAGCCAACAACCACCAGCCCTCATCGCAACCCCCGATCCCAATTTTGAGACAACGAGACAACCTAAGAACGAAGAATTTTTTAGACAAGCTTCGATGATGTCCTCGGCTTAGTCATTGCATATGATCTCATCTGGGGCTCTCTCTGTCCTTGCACGAATTGAGTCTTCCTCATCGTGAAAGTAGTAGCTTTAACTGTTTTTGTTCAACAACTTTTAATTTTTTATTTACCATCCATATTCAAGGACTACATTGATTGATTTTTATTTTCAAGAACCATTTTGATGATATATGTCAATTTCAAGGACTACTTGTGATAAAAACTCTATTTTGTTTCCCAACAAAAATGTATTAAATGTAGCCTTTAGTGTATGCTATACACTTCAACCAACAAAAAAGTATTAAATGTTAACTTAAAAAAAATGGAACTTTAACGAAAAGCACCCGGTACTGTTCACTTTAACCAAAAACCACATTTTTACACTGAAAAGTCAATTCTGTTACTATTCACTTTACCCTTTATTTTGTCCTTATCATTAAAACTCAAAGTTTTCAAGCCATTTTCATTAGTTTTCCTTAAAAATAATGGTATTCATTTTCATTTGCAAGTGAGAGGTATTA